GCACATAAGTAATGGTCGCAGATCCGTTGTAGCAAGATATTTAAAATTAGACAAATTGAACAATATATCACATATTTAGCTTAAATTCATTAGAGGCCTTCGACATACGTACAAAGTACACCGTTGTACCACAAACGAAGTGACAGACGGAGCGGCTCGAAAACTTTGGTGATTAACATGCTATTTCAATTTTTCAGTGTACCACATGGCAACACCACTACTACTAGATTGTACCACATGGCAACACTACTACTGGTTTTGTGCTACACTGAAAAAAGTTTTCGTATAGTTTCCATTGGGAACGCACATGATATTTTTCCAATAACAAAATTAATGATTTTTACCTGAAATTCACATAAGATTCATATGATCATATGAATTCTATGTGTTAAATCACATAAACTTCATTGGACACATAAGGTTCATGTGATTTCGTGGTGTGATTCCCAATTATGAGATCACATGAAAGTTATGTGAAATTCTAATGGATATTTTCACCAAATGTATTAGAATGTTTTGGTTCTATTTCTTTCACTCTAGTCAAAACTGAAATGCATAAAAAAATGACAAAATGATACACTCTTTGCGCACTGTCAAAGAATCATTGTACACAAAATCAACTTTGTTCAAATCAAAACAAAAAAACTAACCCATCTGGTGGATGATGGAACAAGCTTCCAAGAAAATTCTATTACAGTAAACCACATTACTTTAATGGATTTCTTCGCCAGTTAGTCGTCTGTCACTTCGTTTGTGGTTGTACGTTGAACAATCGTTGTACTGTCATAGTACTAACGTTGTACTCTTTTATGTTAGTACCTCAAATTGTACATTTTGCAGTACTTGCTGCGTATAATTAGTACACTCTTACTCGCTGCAAAACCATGCTTTCTTTGTGCATCATCGACGATAATAGCAATAGCGTTGAAAACACCGAAAGTATCCTTGTTCAATTCTTATTTGTTCCCATTAATTTGATGACAACCATCTATTTTCTTTTACAAATCATATGTTTAAGCCTAGGTTGTTTCATAAACTGATACTGTATTGTGCATACTACTGAGAATCAAAGCGAAATTTTTAACTGGCATTACTGGAGTTCCTATGTCGCTAACATCGCGTGTGCGGTTTGGTGAGCGCGCGACAATAAGATGAATTTTAAACTTTAATTTTGTTTACTGTACATCATTTGCCCTTTTAAGATAACACTTCTGAAATTTGTGAGTTCGACAGAACCACCAGCACCAAATTGTCGGGGTACACTGGCAATATACCGGAACTGTCAAGTTGCCCCCGAGTTGGCGACGATGAACTGGACGTTTCCAGTCGACGACTCCACCTCCACATCAAGGGCCTCGATGATAGAAGTGCGGATATGGGACAGAGTGTGGTATTTTATTCCTTTCTTGACGACGACCGCAACACCCCCCCCCCCCCCCTTGGAGCTGGTGCGATCAAGCCGAATAATGTTGTGGTCAGGCAACCAGAAGCTGTCCCCGGACTTTAGATGGGTCACTGATAGGAGGACCACGTCTATACTATGCTTGCGGAGGAAGTCAACAAGCTCGAACTTTTTGGCTCGTACAGAGCAAGCGTTCCAAGTGACTATAGTTAACGGTTTATACGCCATACTTAAGGTGCAAATCAGATTGGATTTAGCCTTTGTATGTATAAGTATGCATAAATGATTTGAACGTATGTATTGGTTTTGGTGAAGGAGTACCAATACATACAGTAAATTATTGTTCATCTTTATAAAGGGGGGAAGTATTGTAATTTTGCAGTTTTAAGTTTAACTATAATATTTTCTAAAAACTTCAGGGCAAGTGTAAACTTCAGATTCAAATAAATTCATAGGGGCTGTCCATAAACTACGTAGACAGTTTAGGGGGGGGGGGTTGACAATTATCCACGGCCCATACAAATTTTAAAAATTTTGTATGGATAATTATCTACGCAGGGGGAGGGGGGGGGTCAAGAATCCCAAAAAAAAACTGTCTACGTAGTTTATGAACAGGCCCATACATGTAAGGGGTAATGTACTTATTACGTAAGGGTTTATCGGGGGAATTGAGTTCAGCATTTCCTTATTTTTCAAAATTGCGTTATTTAATGATTCTTTTTCCTTTGATTTATTTTTCGTCGATCTTGTTTTCCGTACTGAGTACCAATGCTACAAACCGCTGGGGTAATATAGTGGTGCCAGCAACCCGAAGCGCGCTAACGGTTGTCAAATATTTAATTGCAACACAGAAACCTCCACCAAGATAGCGCTATAACATCATAGAGGTAACTCTAAGACTAGAAGGTCCCAAAATAACGTGCTCAACTTTTTGGCTCAGCTCTAGTACTCTCTTCCGTCCCAACCTAATCGATTCACCCCTCGAAACATAGGGAAAACCAATAACCCCTCATTTTATCTGTCAAACTTTCATAGCGAATCAAAACAAACATTGCGTAGTACTAGAATTTCGACTAGAATAGGGTACGTTAATCGTTTGCTTGGGACCAATAGGCTACTCAAGTGGTGAGCCAATTTAAAATCGTTAGTTTCGTATTGATTGTTGATAACATGTAATAACTCTGTAGTCTTAACGTACTATTACCCAACTAACATTTTCAGCTTTATAAGCCAACTTTTCCAGCGTTGTGCTGTAAAGTAGCTGAAAAGAAGCTGCAGATACAGCTACAAGCAGAAGCTAGCAAAATAGTTTTGGAGAGCGTTTACTCAACTTTTTCACAACCATTATTCAATCTGTCAGTCGCACTGAATAACAACAGCCAAAAAACGCTAATGTCTCTTTTATACACATACTAATCAACTTTCAACTTGTTACTCCAAAACAAAGCTAATAAAGTTAATATAGTCCCAACAAACAATTTTAGCTGCAGATAAGCTTATACAGTCAAAATTTGCCTTATGCAGCTAATTTTTGTCTGTATAAGCTAAGCTGCAGCTAAAATTGTTTGTTGGGCGTACTCATTTGATGGCTTCTACACAACCAACCACTCTTGCTGAATAACATAAACATCAAAAGTGCTTTTGCAACAAATCCTGTACTCAGCTAATAAACTGTGTTAGAGCTACTTCGGAAGCATTTTCACAGTCAACTAGGTTTATTTGGTTAGGTTAGGTTAGGTTGTGCAGTTTTACAGCTTTTACTCTGCTCCTTTACAAAGCTGATTTATGTGCACTATTATAAAACCTCTACTCAGCGATTTTGTTGTAGAAGGGCATGTTGATTTGTTTACATCAGTTCAAAGTGTTGGCGTAGAACAGTTTGTAGTGTCAAGGTTTGCCAATGCGGTCGTCTCGAGTTCGATGCCAGGTTCCGGTGCTAGGTAAAATAATTTGGTGATGACTTGTAACTAATTTCGATTAATTTGATTTGTGACAGCAAAATAAACTTAATAAATTCATCCATAAAAAAAATCGTTAACAGTATTTAACCCGGCTTCAAGAGAAAGCTGTGTAGTCATTATTGGATAACCGGGAAAAGGTTGAATAAGCGCCTTTCAAGTTGACACACAGCTAAACAGCAGGATAACAGCTCTATAGAAGCGTTAATGGATACGCAATAAGAGCTTGTCCCAACTGCTCCAACAACCATAATTAGCTGACTAAGTTCGCCAGATTTGCTTGTATAGAGGTTGAGTAAAGGTTTCCTCATATCGTTTGAATACAGCTTGAGGCTGTATAAATGAAATGAGTAAAGCGTTTACATTGTGAAAATTGTTAGTTGGGTACAATGCTGCGTCAAAAACGTCGGACGGTGAACTATTCATTCTGGTATAAACACAATCAAAAGTGCATAAATCAATGACAACGACAATTATTGGTGTAGTAAACGAAATTGCAGTTAATATTATACTACCGTAGGCAGCCGTAGACCCCCGTTAATCCGAACGACACCTCGTGCGTGTCAAGTGTGGTTACGGCCTTCGATCGCATGGTGGAAATTCGACTTGAGAATGTATGGCGAAATGCATTTTTAATTAAGCACTTTTCAGAAATGGTACAATTTGTTCGCTATATCTTCTGCTTAATTCCTTTATTTAACGTCGGTCTCTGTTCCGCAATCTAGTGCTAATCACCGACACGGACATCGTCCATTGACGACGATCGAATGTGCAAGGAGGTAGCTTCCACACCTGCGTAGGATATCGCATCCATATTTTCTATATTAGTTCTAGATAATGTTGCTATTACTAAAAAGAACAAAATATAGAAATTAAGTATTACCCCACACGGCGAATGAGAACGACCCAAATTTGAGTTTAGTTAGTTTTCAAACATTCGGGAAGTTTTCCTGAACAAAACTGGAAAAACCAGGAAAACTTAAGGCAAACTTACTCGTCGCAGAGTTCCTGCACTTTATATGATTTATGAGTTAACTAAACTCAAATTTGGGTCGTTCTCATTCGCCGTGCACCAGTGGAGGATAAAATCAGTTTTTCGGTATGGAGATTTAAAAAAAAAACGTTGACTTCTTTTCAAACATTGCTTCTTGCGGTGAATAAAATTCTACATTTTGTTCTTTTTAGTAATAGCAAAATCATGAAGAAATAAAATATAGAACAAATTGACAATTGTACCATTATCGAAATGATTCATTAAAAGTTCATTTTCCCATAGATTTTCAGCCCATACACGAATGATGAGACCGACTCAAAATTGAGTTGAAATCGACTAAATTTTGCCAAAAGTGGAGTTGCTCAAATGTGAGTTGAGTTTTCCGAGATTTTTCAGGAAAAACTTCTCGAATATGAAGAAAATAGAGAGAGGTTCCACTCAGTCTATTGGTATACTCCTAGACTGAGTAATTTTTTTCCTGGAAAAGCTCGGAAAATTTCACACACTTTGTGAATAAATCCACTTATGACTAAATTGAATCGAATTCAACTCAATTGTTGCTCTCATCGTCCGAATCTTCCTCAAAATGAAGCGCATTATTATTGTACTTTTAAAAAATAACCATCATGCGTCCTCTGTAACACAGAGCTGGCCCCAGGGAAGGAGCATACGTACATGGAATATTCATGGAAGGAGCCCGGTGGGATGTTCAACAAGGCATCATAATGGAATCTAAACTAAAGGAACTGTACCCACAGATGCCTGTTATCAACATTCGGGTAAGAAAACAGTTACTCATTTTGGAATGTTTTAACAAGTAATCATCGACGCTCCTTTTCAGGCCCTGACGCAAGACAAGCAAGATTTGCGCAATATGTACGAGTGTCCCGTGTACAAAACACGAACCAGAGGACCCACCTACATTTGGACATTCAATTTGAAAACCAAAGACAAGCCGGCGAAATGGACCCTCGCCGGTGTAGCACTGTTACTTCAAGTTTAAAAATATTTTTGTGAATCGTTTGATATTAGTATTATATATTATACTGCTGTGTTATGTTTGAGATCTTTAACCGCACCATGTTTTAGCAGTTTGTTGTGTCTAAAGATTTATCAATTGTAAAACCATCTTATACTATAACCTTTATAATCGTTGTCATCGCATCGTAAATCGCATATTAAAATCAATGCACCCCCATCGACACCGCAAGGAATACCTCCCTGTTTTATACTGTGAAAAATTTGAGAAAATCTTACTTTAACATGGTTGGGGACGGGCCCGGCCTAGTTGTTAGTATCCATACCGCTCAAGCTTAAGCTCACAAGTTCAAATCTCATCCCCGTACATGTCACGAATGACCAAAAGTGTGATATAGTGAGTACAGTGAACTGACTAATACAAACAAGACTTCAACATGCTCACCATTTTAATTGAACATAAAAGGTTATAATATTTAATTGTTCATTTCGTTTTTCACATCTGATACGGCAACATCTTCCGCGCTGCCACTTGTCGAGGCCTCCTTTCCAGCAGATGGATCATCATTTTCAATTGAAACCACCTTTGCCTTCGCCTTCGTTCGACGGCGAATCGTTTTCTTAGCATGTGTCTGTGCATGACTGACCATGTGCTGAAGCCTGGAGAAAGTACGTCCACATATTTCGCAGGCGAATCTCTTCTCCCGCTTATGCGTCGCCCGATGGCCATAGTAGGTGGAAGAGGCCATGAACTTCATCTTGCAGATTTCGCACTCGTACGGCCGTTTACCGGTATGAGTATTTTCGTGGTCCCGGAAATCACGCAACCGTGCAATTCGCACGCCACAGTAACCGCACTGGAACTGCTTCCGGTGACTTTGCATGTGGGAATAGTAGCTGTTTCGGTTCGGCAAAGCTTTGTTGCATTCGATGCAGAAATATTCCTTCTTGGGTTTCTCATTAGCACATTCAGGCGAAACATCGAATGTTACATTAGGATCCATTGTAGAAAGCTCCTCGTAGTTGAAGGAAGCCGAACTTGGATGGATGGATTTCATGTGCACGTTAAGATCATAGGCCGTGATGCACTGTTTATCACAAGTTCGGCACGTTACTACTTCAAGGTCGGTGTGTGTCTAAAACGGTGATATTTTACATAGTATTTATGTTTGTTGCATTGTAGCTCATAATCAGATACATTACATACCTTCAAATGCTCGTCATATCTCTGTTGTGAAAGAGCAACTTCCCCACAAATTTCACAGGAAACTGATTCGCTAACGGTATGATAGTTTTTCTCATGTATTAATCTCGGTCCATAGCTGGAGAATCGAGCATCACAGGTCCGACACTTCAAAGGTTTCAAATGCATCATGAAGTGCTTGTTTAAGGATGGCAGTGTTCTTATGACTACCTTCTCCGTGACGCATCGTTCGCATTGGTATGGAAGCATATCATTATGTTGCGATAGGTGGTAATCATACTCCTCATTCGTTTCGTGCTCTCTGTCACAAATGAAGCATTTGTGCTTAGCTTCCGTAAGAATACGCATCGTCTCATGAATGTTGAGTCGCTCTTCAGAAGATTGACCAGTGTCTTGTTCATTGTCGTTTTCTGACACTAAGTTAGTCTCCTCTTTTACAATATCCATTACAAGCATAGTTTCATTTTGGTCATCTTTTTGCTGACCGGTTCTATCGGTATCTACGCAAGGCGAGTCGTTTTCTTCTAAAGCTTCTCTTTTAACATTCACCATTTGAACATCGTCGTTTCGGTTGAGATGTTTTCCGTTTTCGTTTTCTAGATCATCTCTTCCTACCGAAATAGGCCCAAATTCGTATCTCTTCAGTAAAGACACAAACTGTGACCATAGACATAGTTTTAAATCTCTTCCAAGCACTCGTCGAAGAGCTACGTCTGGTTGCTTCACATCTCTCACAAACAAGCTCACTTTCATGTCTGGAAATATTTGAATACTGTTAACTATCTTAATCGCACTATCCCGATTTGTATCATCAACGTTATAGAAATGTACAACATCTCTCATCCGATAGAAATGCCATCCTCCAAAGTCCGCCTCCTCGATGATAAGTGCATAAAAACTATCGAAGTCAAGAATCAATTCCTCCGGAGAATCAACCACTTGTTTCGGTTGTTCATATTGAGCTACCGATGTTCCGAAGAGCGATGGTACAGCGTCTAGTTTCAGCTTCGCCGGTTTAGCTAGCTTTTCCAAATCTTCCGGTTTAAAGTGATTCATACAGACGCAGGACGTTTTTTTCGGTAGCCATTTATCGGGTCTACCTACGGCCGCAACCCACCGGTCGCGAAGAGCCGGATCTTCGGGGAATTTGAAAGTGCTAATTACGTTTCGTCCCTTTCGCAACCTGCTCTCGTAGTTGGATCCACACTTTGGCACGCTGCATTTCCGTCCCATGCCGTTCTAGCAGAACCGGTGGAAATTGTTCCAAATTTAACCGGAAAATGGAATACTAATTAATAATTTAATGTATATAGTTTTTTCTACAATACTGGGGACTCGAATTCCGTCGCGTCTTGATTTGTTTATGTTTTGAATTTCTGTTGATGGCCCCGTCGAAAAATCGTCTCTTCTACACTGTAAGAAAAGACCTGCCATATATCGAATGATTCTTCATACGGTGTGTTCATAAATGCCTATTAAATGTGATTTTTTTTTTGTTTTCGAATGAAACCAGCAACGAGTGACCCGTACAAAAGAACCGTAGAGGTACAATGAAATGTATTGTAACCATACAATAGAATTTATTGCATTTACAATAACTCGTATTGTCCACAACTATAAAATAACCATAGTATTTATTGTTTCCACAAAAGGATCTATGGTAAATTGCATAATCTACAAGGGGGTTGTTATGTATCTTAACCATACAAAAAATCACTTTTTTTCACTTGAGCCATTTACCATTAATTTTATTATCGATACAGAAAACAAAATATTCCACGTGGATGATGATTTCAAGCACCTGGGGTCGAGCCTGGGGTGGATAAATTAAACAGGAGAGGTGAAAATATTTTCCTCTTCCTATGCTTCACGGTGAAAATTTCCACTCTCATTACCACAAACGAAGTGACAGACGACTAACTGGCTAAGAAATCCATTAAAATAATGTGGTTCGCAGTAATAGAATTTTCTTAGAAGCTTGTGCCATCATCCACCAGATGGGTTAGTTTTTTTGTTTTAATTTGAACAAAGTTGATTTTGTGTACAATGATTCTTTGACAATGTGCAAAGAGTGTATCATTTTGTCATTTTTTTTATGCATTTCAGTTTAGAGTAGAGTGAAAGAGATAGAACCAAAACATTCTAGTACATTTAGTGTTGTCATGTGGTACAATCCATTAGTGGTGTTGTCATGTAGTACACTGAAAAATTGCAATAGCAGGTGCGTCACCAAAGTTTTCGAGCCGCTCCGTATGTCACTTCGTTTCCCGCATAAACGCAAACCATCACTTGACCTTACCGATAATGGTTATAAATTGTTTATAACCCCTCCTAAACTTTAACTGAAATGGTTTTGGAACCTTACATGAACGTTTGTGTGATAAAGTTTTAACCTTAAGTATTATGGTTTTTAGGAAGCTACCTTACAAATAATGGGTCGTTAAGAACCATTACCATTTCAAATTCTTGTTTTCTCCATACATTTTCGGAAAGAGAACTATATTAGAACGTTTTTACTTATGGTTTGAGAACATTAATGATTATGGTTATGGTAGTCAGTAAGGTCCATTAATCGTTTTGTATTATCGCTCAACTTTCTTCTTCTTCTTATTCGCATTTCAAGTTTATTGCTTAGCGCATATTAGCTTATTGCGTGCTCTCAACTTAGTGTTCTAAATGCACTTCCACAGTTATTAATTGAGAGCTTTCGATGCCAATACCAATGCATGAATTTGTGTATTGTGTGGCAAGCACAATGATACTCTATGCCCAGGGAAGTCGAGAAAATTTCCAACCCGAAAGATTCCCTCGACCGGACCGGGAATCGATCCCGCCGCCTCCGGCTTGGTAATACCGTGCCTTTACTGACTAGGCTATGAGGCCCCTATCGCTCAACTTTACGTGGAATATATCGCGAACTGATAATTATTAATTTACAGGCAACCAATTCGCGATATATTCCACATAAAGTTGATCGATGTTACAAAACCATTCATGGGCCTTACTGACTACCATAACCATAACCATTAATGTTCTCAAACCATAAGTAAAAACGTTCTAATATAGTTCTCTTTCCGAAAATGTATGGAGAAAACAAGAATTTGAAATGGTAATGGTTCTTAACAACCCATTATTTGTAAGGTCCGCTTCCTAAAAACCATAATACAAAAGGTTAAAACTTTATCATACAAACGTTCATGTAAGGTTCCAAAACCATTTCAGTTAAAGTTAAGGAGGGATTATAAACAATTTATAACCATTATCGGTAAGGTCAATTTATGGTTCGCGTTTATGCGGGTTGTGCTTATACATTCCATAAGATAAACCACATAGATCCTATTAGAATGCATAAAAGGTATGTGTGACTGATTATACATTTCATTTGACGCATGATCTCCATTAACTTTTTACAAGGCATCTGCTTATTAGTTGACTTATACATTTTATGAATAATCAGCAATAGAAATTTTCCAAAAGGTATAAGGAGATTTCTATCCGTGTAGGTCCCGAAGAAACTTGCTCAACTTTTTGGCTCAGCTCTGGTACACTGTACACAAACATCATCCTCTGATCAAATGAAACCTCAGACCATTCAAAACAAAACACCGAAATCGCTTTTTCGAATGATAGCTGCAACCGGATGACGGTTGTTTTGAAATCAAATGATTTTCCTCTCGAATACAGGATGAAACTTGTTATGAGAAGGGATAGGGCCTTCAGTTGAAATGCGTAATGTTCTCTGCAGAATGACTGTCATACTAAATGGAAATGCATATGGTATTAGTTCAGCCCCATAACGCAAATCATTCAAAACGATGATGTAAATAATTCTATCGAACGTCATTTGCTGATCTGAGCTGACAAACGAGGTGGAAGCATATGTATCGCTATCAGAGCTGTGTCCAACATAGGTAAAGCATGACAACCAATGTTTGGCTAATTCGTGGTGGAGGAGGTTTCCTCCACCACGGAAAAATTTTGTATCAATAATGGAATGGCTTATTATGGCTATTCAGTATAGAAATGTAGATAATCAAATTATAAATCTATTTAAAAGCACTTGCATGTCACACTATTCTTAAATGTTTGTCCTCTGAGTGCCGTATGTTTTATAGCTAATTTTCAAACGAAAATCATCCTGTATTTGGATGACAGTCATGTGGCTGTTCATCATCTGACGACGAATTCAACCATAAGAAAATCATCCGAAATTCGAATGCATATTGTTAAAGGGCTCGAGCAATGCAATAATCATTCGAAGTATTGCGGATGTTTTGGTTCAGTGTACTATCTTCGGTCCCAAGCAAATCGATTCACCCCTCGAAACATAGGAAAATCCAATAACCCCTCATTTTATCTGTCAAACTTTTATAGTGAATCAAAACAAACATTGTTTAGTACTGTACTAGAATTTTGACTAGACTTAACGTACCCTATATCGATTTGGTTGGGACCAATAGGCTAGTTAAGTAGTGAGCCAATTTAAAATCGTTAGTTTCGAATTGATTGTTGGTAATAGCACAAACGAAGTGACAGACGACTAACTGGCGAAGAAATCAATTAAAATAATGTGGTTCACTGTAATAGAATTTTCATATAAGCTTGTGCCATCAGCCACCAAATGGGCTAGTATTTTTGTTTTGATTTGAACATAGTTGATTTTGTGTGCAATATGATCTTTGACAGTGTGCAAAGAGTGTATCATTTTGTCATTTTTTTATGCATTTCAGTTTAGAGATAGAACCAAAACATTCTAGTACATTTAGTGTTGCCATGTGGTACAATTCATTAGTAGTGTTGCCATGTGGTACAAGCCAGTAGTAGTGCCCTAATAAAAATTGTATGGTTAATTTGCTTAACGACGTGTTCTGGGTATCATCCAAACCATTTGTGGAATAGTTCAATGATTTGGGTTATCGTTCGTTTATGGTTATTTTTTATTAGGGTGGTGTTGCCATGTGGTACACTGAAAAATTGCAATAGCAGGTGCGTCACCAAAGTTTCCGAGCCGCTCCGTCTGTCACTTCGTTTGTGGTAATAGTAAAGAGCCTGAATTTATAAAGAGACGATTTGTCAAAATTGAAACAATCGATTGTCTGTCAAAGTCATAGGAAAAGTCATTCCAATCGAGCAGAAGACCTGTCAAATGGATAAGATGTCGCCTCTTTATAAATTCAGGCTCTTTAGGTAATAGGGCTTCGGTGAAGCAATAACCATTCGATCAAAGGATGATGTTTTGGTTCAGTGTAGCAAAAAATTATGAGCAGATCCATAAACATCAAACGGCGAACCGGTTCACAATGTTTGTAAATAAAGGCATCAAAATAAACTCAGCTGCTTACGAAGCTTATAGAGGCTGGTGGTAAAAGTGAACTATTATTCTATTTTCAATTAGTTATTAAATCAATAAACTATTGATTATTTGCGCAACTAAAAATCTGACAATTACAGAAATAATTACCAAGTTCCCCAAAATAGAATGATGATAACATTCGTTTAAGAAGAGTAAAAAATAAACGACTGGTGAACGAAAATTCAATACAGCGCATTCGAACATTAAATAGGTAAATAGAACGAAATTTGTGCGTACCACATTTATTTAATACTACAACAAATCATAGGCCCCAGCTAGGATGGGACGCAAATGTTGCGTGCCTAAGTGTAGCTCCAATTACGATGCAGTACTACGTAAAGGTCAGTCTACTATCAGCACATTCAAGTTCCCCGAGGAAAAGCATCTTCGAGATAGTTGGCTACGGGCACTTAATAGGGGAAACGACTGGCAGCCTGGTAGGACGGCAAGTATCTGTATTAATCACTTCCAACCGGAGGATATAGTACGCTACGACAAACCAGCAAAGCTTAAACCAGAAGCTGTGCCATCGATTTTCGAAAATCTGTCTAACAAGGGACCGATTGTCAAGCGGGGTAGACCTAGGAAAACCGAAACTCAAGGGAACTCTTTGGGCGAGGATGAACAATACGAAGATGTTTTATACGAAGAACATCTCGAGCCCGTCGATGGCCTAATGGAAGAATTGATCCTTGATTTCGATAGCTTTAGTCAACAGATAAGCGAAAAACTTTGCCTGGAAAGGTGGCATCATTATCAAAATAACAACGTGCTTCACTTCTACAACATTTATGAACACGATACCGACAGTGCCATTCGAATAGATAATAGTATAAAAGTATACGAGGATATGAAAATGAAACTATTTCTGATGAATGTACGACAAGCGGATGAGAAGCTTCAGTGGATTTTAGGTCATGACATGAAAATATGTCGGTGGTCTCAGTTCGAAACCATCTTGAAGAAGTATGATTCCAAACTTCACCAACTGAGAGAAATTGTCCAAACAAATAATGATGAAAATAGCGAGATCCATTCAGAAGAGCAAACAGAAGAATGCAAAGGTCCATCTCCAAATTTTGACTCGTCCGTGGAATATCTTGATCAGCAAGAAGATGAAGAAATTGAATTTTTGGCAGTGGAACTGGCAAATACACAAGATGAAACCATTACTTCCGTTCAATCTGTGCGTAATCCACTGCGAACCAATAAGGAACGGGTTGTAACGGCACAAGAACGGGTTGAACGAAAAAATGTTCGTGATGTCGTTCAAAAATTGAAAAATGCGAAACATAAATGTTTCATCTGTCAACAGGAGCATGAATCGAACGAGGATTTCGAACGACATTTACCGGAACATACTGTTATGCTACCGTTCAACTGTGAGCAGTATACATCTCAGGCCATAACCATCAAAACACTGGCTTCGTTGAATAAGCACTTTCTAATGCATCAGAAACCATTGAAATGCAGGTCGTGCGACGTCAGGTTTTCCACCTACAGTACCCGGCTTTTGCATGAACAAAATAGCCACGAAAACAGTGGTCCTTTCACGTGCGAGATTTGTGGGAAGATTTCCCATTCCCTCAGAGGACATCAGCATCATTTTAAGGTAAATTTAATGAACTTTAGAGTTAAATAGTGTGCCAAAGTAGCACAAACTGATTCTGAATCAAGCTGCAACAACTAAAAATTAACTGAAAACAGTTTCTGCTCAGTTTCTATTACCAAAGGAGCTGCTAATGTGTCAACCATATTTCTATTGCTAGGTCCACACAAATCCAGAGTCGATGAAGTGTCAACTATGTGGAAAACAGCTTTCGTCTGGATACGAATTGAAACTACATATGCGAGTGCACACGAAAGAAAAACCAAACAAGTGTCCCTTTTGTCCAGCTTCTTTTAATCGGATATCCAACTTGGTCGTACACAAACGTCGTCTGCATGGTACAGAGAAACCGTTCCGGTGTGCAAGCTGTGGGGAAGAATTTCGATCGAATGTTGAACTGAAGCGACATGCCATGGCGAGCCACGATTTTGAGACACCTACCATATCTAAAGAAAAGAGCTTTCGGAAAATTAATACGGCATCCTCCAAAGATGGTAAAAGAGATTACCATTGTAAGGCCTGTGATAAGCAGATGCCGAATGCATCTAGCTATCACTCTCATATGAGAAAACATCGCAAGCGTTACCAATGCAGCTATTGTGGGCTTCGCGTTGGTCAGTTAAGGGATTTCATTGACCATGAAAATACCCATACCGGTCGCAGGCCCTACGAGTGTGAAGTATGTTCGAAAACATTCAAGACTTCATCTACATACTATGGCCACCGAGCGGTTCACACTGCAGAAAAGCGATTCAACTGCGAAGTGTGCGGACGACGGTTCAATCGACTGCGGCATATGGTCATCCATGCAAGAACTCATGCGAAAACGTCGTTTCAGAAGTCGCACGCCTGTTCAATTTGTAGTGAAACGTTTCCTGATCGAAATTCCCACAGTAAACATGTTGAATCGCATAACGTAGTACAACCTGTCGAGAATCAACCAAATTCAGAGGAAAACCCAGAACCTCAAGTGATCGCGAATACCGGAGAATCACAGCTAGTTACCCTAACGTTGGCTGCACCGGTGTCAAAACCACTTCAACTTCCTCGAATCATCCACACGTCTGATGGAAAGGAAGCTATTCTTGTGACGGCGGACATGATAAGTTCACAGAACTTTTTTATTCTGCAGCAATCGGCTAAAGACAGTGTTGATATGTAATATATTTGATGATAGTAACAACTGATGAAAATAAAAATAAAAGCTCGGGGTTGAGTCCGAGACACGTCCGCATTAACGATGTATGACTTATAATATTGTTTTGTTACTTCATTCACACACTAAAGTATGCAATTGGAAGTCAAATGCTATCCTTGGCTGCGACCATTAATTTGATCTATTGTATTAGATCCCGTGTCCTATTACTACTCCATCACTATTTATTGAGAAATGATGAAGTAGGTATTCGGTTTAAATACAGTTGTAATTCTTCCCTTTATCGCAAGAAACCGATTCTAATTGAAAGGTCTCGCTATTTATACCCTTTGAAGAGCAAGAGCACCCTCCAAAAGCGCGCCGCTTTGTCATTCAAAATCGGAATCCGGAGCTGTTCCTAAACTACGTAGACAGTTTAGGGGGGGGGGGGGGGGGGGTTGGCAATTCTCCACTGCCCATACAAATTTTAAAAATTTTGTATGGAGAATTGTCTACGCAGGGGGAGGGGGTCTAGAATCCCAAAAAAAATGTCTACGTAGTTAATGAACAGCCCCTTAGCAACTAACCCATTTTTCTCTTGTTTCAAGCGAGGTTTCAAGATCATCCTCGATGGAGCAAGTCTTGTTACTATTAACAAGGACTAAGATGAAAAATTATGTTCCCCGAGTATTAAGTAGTCAGAACTAGGGTTCGGCCGAGGAAACTTTGTAGAAGTATATCAAACTTCGGAGAATTTCGTAGAAGCTAAAAAAAAACCCGAATTTATCCACCTATGGTGTGATCAGACCCTTCTTACTTATTCAAGTTTATTTATTTTATTGTCATTATCAGTGACCAAGCCCCCCACCCCCGTGTCATCCAGTGACGCTACGCCACTGCCTGGGGGTACCCAGAATATATCCGGGTGTAGTCTATTTGGTGAGGCTACCAATCACCTTATCATCGTATTTTAATGTGATTTAATGGGTTTTAATTCAATTCATATTCAAGCAACTTCCCCGTGGTACCCGGAACATGTCCAAGTGTGTCCAATGTGGTCTGGAACACTTAACACGACTTGCATTGATCTTATTTTTGAATTTTGTAGTAATTTGATGTGTCGCATGATGGTTTTAATACGTTTTCCGTTAAATCCAGCGTGAAGGCCCATATTCACCGGATCTTATTCCGGCCATATCTCCGGAACCGGTTCACCGATTCCAAAACGTTCAATGGGACCCCAAGACCTATCATTTGGCGCCGAGTTTGTCCAAATCGGTTGAGCGGTTGCTGAGAAACGTGAGTGCATTCATTTCGTTACATACACACCCACATACACACATACACACATACACACGTACACACACACACACACACACACACACACACAGACATGTTCCGATCTCGTCGAGCTGAGTCGAATGGTATATGATGGTTTTGATACGTTTTCGTTAAATCCAGCGTGAAGGCCCATATTCATCAGATCTTATTCCGGCCATATCTCCGGAACCGGTTCACCGATTCCAAAACCGTTCAATAACGTTCAATGGGACCCCAAGACCTATCATTTGGCGCCGAGTTTGTCCAAATCGGTTGAGCGGTTGCTGAGAAACGTGAGCACATTCATTTTGTTACATACACACACACACACAGACATGTTCCGATCTCGTCGAGCTGAGTCGAATGGTATATGACACTCGGCCCTCCGGGCCTCGGATCGATAGTCGGTTTTTCAAGTGATATCTATACCCTTCTTTGTAAGAAGGGTAAAACGTTAAAATTCACCCAACATGAATTTCACACTGAGAGCAGTTCCGCAGTTGATAATTGACGAGTGCACGGATGGATTTGAGTTCACTCACTCGACAAAAAGTGACACAACAGCGGGGCCCTGTTTACTAAAAATGAACACATATGTGTTCATTTTTAGTAAACAGGGCCCCGCTGTTGTGTCACTTTTTGTCGAGTGAGTGAACTCAAATCCATCCGTGCACTCGTCAATACTATATTGTAGGGTTGTTTCAAATACATAACACCACTAAATTTGTGCAGACTACATATGATATTCTTTTTAAAATTGATAGTTGTGTATTTTACCATGACAATCATGCCAATGCATTGAAGTTAAAACTACTATGCTTCATAGTGCTCTCGACAATAATTCCAGGTTAATAGTTTAACCAACAATCAATACGAAACTAACGATTTTAAATTGGCTCACCACTTTAGTAGCCTATTGGTCCCAAGCAAACGATTAACGTACCCTATTCTAGTTGAAATTCTATTACTACACTATGTTTGTTTTGATTCGCTATGAAAGTTTGACAGATAACATCAGGGGTGTGTGGATTCATGCAGAACATGCAGGGGTGAGTGAAATAGCTTGGGACTGCTTGGGACCGTTGTTCTGGTACTGAGTGAGCCAAAAATAATAATGATTTTCTTCGGGACCCAGTGGTCTTAGAGTTACCTCTATGGTTTAACCATCAGTTGCGTTTAAAACCAGCACGTTTTTAAAGTAAGCTTAACTGTGAAGTATGGTATATTTTAAAACAAGGGTTGTTTTTCTTGGTATAGAAAAATTAATGTTTTTGATTTCGTTTTACGATTTATAATTTATCCTTTTTTATTGATTTTGAAACTTATTTATTCAAGTATGCTTATATAATATGACATTTAATTGATTACATAAAGAATTTCTTAAGTCTAATGTAACTGTTTCCCTGAACATTGTAAATATGAATTGGAGGTCCATCAAATAGGTCTACATGGAGTATATGAAATAGTGACATGCAGCTGTTCACTTTAAAGGATGCAAAGTGGGTTGAATATTCTTGGATCTGCCATTGTTGACATGCAACATTTAAAGCATTGTTTGAGATTAGTAAATCTTTGATTTGATGTAGTTCTATGGCATTCATATTTATGGTTGATTTTGTTAAAAATTGACCAACTCTATACTCTGTGCCTCTGTAGGTTACAGTGCAGGAAGCTTTAAAGCCTGAAGTTAGTAGCTTACTTGTTAAATTTAACGATGAAAAATAAGGTAAATCTATAAGCCTCAAGCTAACAGTATTTTCGTACACTAAAGGGTCCTTGAAATGATTCAAATTTCGTATATTCTGCATAAAAATTAAGTTAGCTTTCGTGCAGAGTGTAAAGCATATGTTACGCCTAGATGTTATGTTTCTGCAATATTTCTTAAACACTTGATGGAATGCTTCAAAACGGAAACTCCATGTGTATCGCGGAGGGCCTATTTGTTTAATTGTCTGAGGATAGTGAAGCAGTATGTGGTACTTTGGTTTAAGATGTTCATCAAATATTTCTTTGTACAGCGTGTGGTGACAAATTATTTGTTCTTCTAAAGTACAGAGAAGTTCATCGTTAAATCTAGGAAGCAAAATCATGTTCACTAACTCAACCAACGATAAAACAAAATTCCATACTTTATCATTTTCTGGTATTAATTCACCAAAAATTAAAGGAAAGTAATGCACAAAGAACATCATTTCTCTTGCTGTCATTTTAAAATTAGTTGATTTGATTTGTTCCTTAGTAATTGTTTTAAACGTATTCCTTTTTTCTGTTTCTTTACAATCAAACATTTGAATTCGGTAGTTAATGGTTTTCAAGGAAATTTTCAAATGTTTGATCATGTAAGATAAAACAAGATACATGTCATAGTTACAAATTCCATGAGAATAAAAATCATGCATTAAATCAACACAAACAAATTCAGCCACATGATAATGCTTTAATTTATTGAATGTAGACTCTTCTTTTATACCTGATTCTTTAAATGGTTTTTGAACGTCAATAACATAATTGCTTTTGTTTCGGTTTTGATGAAAGTCAAGCCTTACATTCGTTTGCGATTCATATTTATTCATTGTGCAAAATCTGCAATAGAGCAACGCACTGAAGGATGTAGCATATCCCATTAACGTATTTATTCCCAAATTATCTCCTAAGATACCCATTAGAACAAAATAGACATAAATCTTACTTCCGTTAATATCCAATTCAATACCGTTTTGCTCTACATCAATGAACACGTCAATTAAATCTTTCAAAGCCTGGGATGGGCCTAGTTTTGTTAAGTCAGACGCTTTTATGAAACCAGCAACAAACAAGTTCTCCAATCGTGATAAAAAATGTGTAGGGATTGTAGGAAAATTATAGTATAATCCTGTCACCTTGTGAGTACCAGAGTGGGCTCCAATAGCATCGTTCATCTCAACTTCGTCAGAGTATAAAAAATAGGGAATTACAAATCTACTCGCAAACTCTTCTTTTACATTTTTCCACAACGTACCATTGACGACGTTTGTTATAACATTACTCTTCTCCAAAGAACTCATATGCATAATTGTTTCGTTGAACACGTCTCCACTTTCAAAAAATAGTTTGAACTGATGCTTGATCGGCATAAGACATCCTTTAGAAATTATACTTCCATCCTCATCTTCATAGTTGATCACTTCCCGCATAGAAAAGAACCATTTCTAGAATAGTTCAAACTTCACTGAAACCTTACTAACTATATTAACTTTATACAAAATAGTTTTGTTATGGTTTATGGAATGTAATAAACAGAAAAGAAACATTAATTTATACTGTTACAGTTTCTGGTATGTTCCAGCTACATTTTGTTACGGTTGATCAACTTTACGAAACTATATTGAACTGTTTCAAAACATTACGAATAAAAGTTGTATACAACTTGTACAATGCTTACGTGTTTCGCTTATGGTTGCTTTATGTTTTTACAACTGGCACAAACAGAGGAAAATGCTTTTCTTTGGAACGGCGGCCATGAGTTCACGGTGTTTTTTATGCTTTATTATTTTATTTTTAAAACTTTACTCCAAATGGAAAACCTGTTTTATCGTAGAGAAAAATGAATAACGTAAGTAATACCAGCTTAAAGTATAAAGTATTTCTAAAAAAGCATGTATTTCCTATAAAAATATCTAGGGCCTTTGACAATCCCAGCCATCATGGATAAGAAACAGCGGTCTACATGGGTTGGAAATTTTGATTCTTCTGGCTCACATTAACCCAAACAGGAAATCGAAGCAG